TACCGCGAGTACCGCGACTACATCATCAATAAGTACCGGGAGGACCCCGCCCGCCGCCTCACCTTCACCGAGGTCCGCAAGGCGCTCGTCGGCGACGCCACGCTCCTCCGGAAGCTATTTGGCTTCCTAGACGCCTCCGGCCTCATCAACTTCTCCGCCACCTCCTCCCGCCCCGCGGCGCAGCAGCCTGGGCCGGGCGCCGTCGTAGAGGCGCCCCTGGGGTTGCAGGTGACGCCACGCCCGCCGGCGTCCTACTTCGTGGAGGAGAGATTGGGAGGAGTGACCGGGGACGGCCCGCTCCGCCTCCCTCAGCTGACCTCGTACACCGATGTGTTCGGGGAGTGGACGCCTGGGAAGGGGCCTATATGTGGCTTCTGCAGCGACGAGTGCAAGGACGGCAAGGTGGAAACCTTGAAGGTACTACCAATTTTTGATATTTTGTATCATAGACCGTGTTCTGTACTCAAGCCATTCTTTGACGACGAAGTGATCTGCTGATCTATCTCCACACGCTTAGTTCGGTCATGCCGAACAGGATTGTTCGCGACATTGATCACTGACATTGTTCGGCCATTTTGTTAGTGGCCTCAGCTCCCACAGAAGGATTCTCATCCAACATCTCAAACACACTGACATGGCTCTCTAATCTCTATACTATGCTTCAACACTAGATTGGGACGCTGTCGATTGCTTCTTGCTCCTCCCAAGGATACAAAGTTTCCTCCCACAAGGACATCATCAAGGCAATTAGCCCGATCAGCATCATACATAACATCGACGTATAGGCAATCATTTCTATTGGACCATGCACCGTGACTTCCCGCCAAATATCTCATTATTCGATGAGACGCTTCCAGATATCCAGTATCCGGATTGTGCATGGAAGGTCAATAAATACTCCCAAGGTCACGAATAACCTACCAAAGCCAGCCAAGTATAGTATTCATACTCCACCCTCTCAAACTAGCCGTTGAAAGGCTGAATCGGTTTAGATGCTGACTGACCGGTTCAACTGACTCTGAACCACTGGTACGGCCTGCTTTGAGCCCAACGGGCAGAAAACTAGCAGTCGAAGACCGAACCGGTGCAACCAACAATAGCCACACCGGTTCAACCACTTTAGAGGGCATGTTAATCCCGCGAGCAGAGTGGTGCAACCGGATATCCTCAGTGGTGCAAATATAATGAGTTGAACCGACACTGAGGTACCGGTACAACCCGTAAATATGCTGACCTGGACAGATGAGAC